CAAAATTTGCCAAGAATGTAAAAGAATAAAGTTTCCATGTTTAGTACTTTGGTGTTAAATAAACCTTGCTAAAAAAACATGGCACCCTTCTGTTGTTTTATGCAACTAAATACCAACTTTTAATCTTAAATTTGTCCACAATAGTCACATCGCAGAATATGCAATGTTGAGTTAGAATTATAGTTGACCAGAAACCGAAGGTTTGAACCACAATAGAGTGAAAGTTTGTCATTTGTATGCGTTTTTAAGGACTGTAACTATGTGCGCATTTTGAGATAGTTCAAAGCATTCAGACACACAAAAATGTATCGTTTGTAACTAATAAAAATTCATTGTATGGGATTATTTAAATGATGAAGACTATGGAGTGTTATTATACATTTAATTATTTAATTAATTTACCTGAATGCTGTTAGACTCTCTAGAAACCCACAGAGCACTGTTTATTTCACTTAATCTTTGCTCCAATGCGTTTATTTATGAATGTAGTTAGTTTATTTTTTTGTATACAAGCTAAAGTTTTCACTAAAATACGGAAACCGTTTCTGGGGTTTTTGATTAAGCAAGTATTTTACAGTACTTAAAAAATACTCAAAAATGCATCTGTCTGTTTTCAAACTATCCTATTTGATTTAAGTCACACAAGTGGCAATTTCACATCCGTCACATCCATAACAGAAAGATGTCACATCCATAATGACAATTTTTCCTCATCAATGTGAAAATATGAAATAAAATAAAATCAATCATTTTTGTTTTATAGAGAGCCAACTTGTGTCCTTTTGATTATTGTTGTTTCTTTTGGGTTGTGCAGTTTAAATCACTGAATTTCTACAAAGTATGGTGTATGCTGCAACTCCCCGGACTTTTTTCATCGCATCAATATTTACCATTTATTTACCTCATTTAAAGTACAAAACATGTTTACAGACTGATATTTTTCTGGTCCTATAACTCTGTAGTCAGTTGTTCTGGAAAATATAAACAAAAGTTTCAAGATGATGTTAACATATGCTTTCTCTGTGAATTTATGTGTTGAGTTTTTACTGCAAATGTCACACCCACGGTGGAATTGCTCATATGATAAATTATATAAAGATATATTTATATAAAATAATATAAAGAAGACCTATACATCATTCACTCTCCTACAAAATCATCCTGATCAATAGAAAGACATGACTTTCCAAATAAGAGTTAAATGATCTGGTGAAATTGTATTCATACTGTAATAAATATCACAGAGAAAAAATATATATATATATTGCAATGTCCAATTATTCCAATATCAGGCTGCCTTGATATACTCACACACTCACACACACACACACACACACACACACACACACACACACACACACACACACACACACAAAAACACACACACACAAACACACACACACAAACACACACACACAAACACACACACACACACACACACACACACACAAACACAAACACACACACACACACACACACACACACACACACACACACACACACACACACACACACACACACACACACACACACACACACATTCTATCATTACAATCAGTTTCATTGAGTATCTTTAGTTTTTGTATGGACCCTTATGATGTAGAGCAATTTAACAGTATTGTTGCCAAAATGTTCAAAAATTAAAAAAAAAAAAAAAAAAAAAACTTACTTTGTTTTACTAGTCTGTCATGTAAACATCAAAATGACCAACATTTGTGTTAAACAGTCAGGTGGTCAATACTATTACTGTAAACATTCAGTTTTGTGATATTATAGCTCATCTTACTTGCCTATCCTACTAACACAATGCAAAAATTCAGCTGAAATGATTCCTCCGTCTATCAAAGGACAAGAACAAACAGATCTTATATGAAAGTGACTCAGATAGCTACTTTGCGGGAAGTCTGTTTGTGTAAAAACATTTTAAAACGTTCCCCGGTGCATGGAAAAATCCCAAAATAAACACAGATCAAAATTTCCATCATATGATCAGTAAGACTGAGCAGCCTATTGGCGAGCAAACAAGTTTTACTGAGCACATGATTTTAATGACTGGAGTCTTTTGTGATTATCTGGATTTCAAAATTATTTTACAGCAACAATTATATTGCATGATAACGAAAACCAAGGCTTGTAATCACGCTGAACAGTTGAAATGTATTCTCAGGCAGATTTCTATAAATGACCACACACAAGCTGGGAACAAATGTTATAAAATTCATCCAGTCGATTATAACATTTGATAGTCAAAACAACTGAATCGATGAAATCTTTCTGCTTCTATATCTATGAAAACAAATTAAGAGAACACTTAAAGATTCTGTTTCTGTTAATTTACTGGACATAAGGCAAGGATTAGAGTAAATTATTAATATTTGTTTAAATCTATAAAGGTCTGATGACATTTCCCCCACATTTAAGACAACAACATTGCCATTCTGAGTTTTATTTTTAGTCTTTTCAGCAGAAGAGAATGTGTCGGAATAACAAATGTTTTATTTAGTTGTGATAGAAAATCAGATGTATTCTAACAAAAAACTACGTTCTTAAAACTTCTGCAGTTAAAACATTGGTATTGTGATATGAAGAATAAAAACATGTCTGAAAACAGTAACTTTTGTTGCATTCATGCAATTTTTCGCACAATTTCTTACATTTTAAATTAGGAGAATATTACAGAATGAAACAAATGACATTTAGGCAACTCAACACAATGCAGAGAAACGAATGATAAAGAGGTCTCTCAATTTCACTCTAGACCTATATAGGCTACACTGTCATGATGTGTCAAATATATTACAGTCGAATTCATGGTCTGCAAGTTTTCTCGTGTTATTTATAAAAAAATGATCATTAGCGTTTCACGTGTTTTCATGAGTCATTGTTATGCCCAAGAAGATCTGCATAATGGAACGCCCAGTATATACGGAAACGTTCATATGATGTAAGTAGACTACAGTACATTTTGCACTATGACGCACATTATTGGGTGTAGTTCATGGTTATTATGGCAGTGCAATTGTCATTTTGAATTCCATGCAATAAATAGCGTTCATGGCAACATCTACACACGCCTTTATGGGCACATATTCATGCGTAAAAATGTTATAATTGGTTGTCACAGTGCTGTAAGATAAATACAGAGAAACAAACAAGGACTACTTAAGTTTTTAGATATAAAAACAATGCTTACCAAGTATTAGGCACGCGATGTCAAGCAATATAAAAGGGATTCCTCTGGTTTCAAACATCTTATCAGTGTCCTTCCGTGCGTCACTTTTGAAATTAAAGGCTTTTTTTTAAGGCGTCCTCGGTGTCTTCTCTGTAAAAAGACTGACTGTAAACACTTCTAGCGGTTTAGTTATAGAGAAATGAGCTGCAGGGGCGCGCACTAACGCGAGTCTAAGCGCGCTTAATAACATTGACCGCGTAATGGCGACTAATAATCAGCCGGATAGCAGAAAGAACGGGCTGTTGGGTCTTAGTTCCTTGGATATGATGACCATTTCAGCGCATGAGGTTAAGAATAAGTGATGACGAGCCGGTGTGCGGTGTTTCTGGCGACGGGATTAAAAGGAGTCGGGTGTCTTGTGGCTCCACACCTCCGGAGCTTCTGCTCCTGCTATCTTGACGGAAAACAGCTGACGCGGATTGCAACCAATCACATCTCTCGATTACTCGATGACCACGCCCTTAGGATAGGCCTTCGCCCACGAATATTAGCTGTCAAATGTAAAAAAAGATCGACCTATATGTCAGTAGAGAAACATTGTTTTTTTGTGTGTGTATAATGATGTATGACCATCATTTTTAAACGTGATTCACTGTAGACATCCACTAAAATGTCATTACAATTGTTACAAGTTGTATGCCAAAAAATTGTGTTTAGTGCAAGAATGATGACAGTGAAGCCTTAATATAGGCCTACTAATAAAAATATCATCATTTTAGATGAGTAAGTACGGATAAATGATTTGTAGCCTAAAGGTCAGAAATAAATAAAATGATTAAAGCAGGGATGCCCAAACTTTTTGTTATAAAGGACCAAAAACCATTGAGAGCCATATGGGCCCTTGAAATATATCAAGCTGTATAACAAAGTTACCGTGGATAATGCCCTCATTTAATTCAAAATAATAATAATAAAAAAACATGACATTAATCAGATTAAGTAATGCATTATATATATATATATATATATATATATATATATATATATATATATATATATATATATATATATATATATATATATATATATATATATATATTTACACTTTATAATTAACCTTTTATAATTAAAACAGGAATTTCACTTAACACAATGAAGTTTAATGCCAAATTTACAACATATAATTTAAGCATTTAATCGAAGTTAGTTTTTTTGTAGCTTAAAATAAAACCAACTAATGAAAGGTTATTTTAAATTAGAAATGTCAATGTATATTAATGGTATTAACTCCAACCGTCTCCAAAATTCTCTCTCTCTTCTCTGATGGGATGGATAGATGGGCTATCTATCTATCTATCTATCTATCTATCTATCTATCTATCTATCTATCGATCGATCGATCGATCGATCGATCGATCGATCGATCGATCGATCTATCTATCTATCTATCTATCTATCTATCTATCTATCTATCTATCTATCTATCTATCTATCTATCTATCTATCTATCTATCTATCTATCATGTTAATTATATATACACTTATTATAAACCATTAAAGTCTTTATTCTGTTTCGCACCTTCATCACCCTCTAGTTATCAGCCATTGATAATAATAATAACTTATATTAATAAATGTCTTTAATACTAGGAAAAGAAGAACATATAAATAAGACCTAGTGAGCGTTCTGTTTTAAAATGTCAATTAAAACAAATAATGTAGTCATATTATGATAAATAAAAAAAGATTGAAAGAAATTATTTTTCTTTAAAAAATATTTTTGTAGAAAAATTGTAGACACTCAAACGACACTAAAAAGACTAATTTAAACCATGTAGTGATGTTTCTTTATTTTTAAACAAAGACAAAATGGCACTAATTGGTGCTAATTGGTGCAACAATATTAGTGGTGCAATGTTTTTAAAAAAGTGCAGAAAACACCAAATAATGAGCTCATAACGCTGCCAGAGTGCCTAAAGTTAAAATGTGTCAGATTTTTGGTACCAGATGAAGAACTGTTGTCTATTGACTCGATTGATTTGATTTAGATAGCGTTTCTGCAATGCTCTCAATTTTTTATTTTCATATTTTTTATTTTCATATTTATTTTTATTATTTTTATTTTGTTTTGTTAGTCGTTTCTCTTTCTACAGTTAATGTCGCCTGTATTTTCCTTCTTGTTGTATCTCTCATATTTATCTCATGATTGTGGCTGTATATTTACATTCATGAATAATAATAAAAAAGTGCCTAAAGTTATAACGATGCAGTGCTGCCATCTAGAGGTGAAGTCTGGACAACATTTTCATTCAAATGATTGTGTAAAGAAGAAAATCAGTGACGCTTTTTATTTGGTTTATTTTACTTAAGGGAAAAAATCCAAATATATATTTTTTATATTTACAATATACCAAAGTGAATTCTCCCCAAATAACAAATAAAAAAGAAAGCAGACATAAAAGAGCAAGCTTTGGAGATGAAAAAGTTCCCAATAAATATTTTTAAATTATCTCCAGCTCTTAACCTGTCTGTCAGACCTGTGTTCTGCACGATTTAATTAGTAAATCTAAAGGTTCAGCAAGTGTCATTTTAAGGTATTCATCAAAACATGAAAATTAGCTCTTGTAAATAGTCTCTAACTGTTTCACTTTATAAAACCAAAGCCTGCACAGATTAGCCTACTTTATTTAGGCTACCTGTATGTAAGACTCTCAAAATGACAGCCAATATTGAGTTGTATTTGAATAATAAGCACCAGAGTTTCAGCAAAATAATCTTGATTGGATACATCTTTGATAGCCTGGGGATGACAGCAGATTTTCATATTTTTGAAGTAAACTAGCTCTTCTACTGTTATTTTTCTGGTCTACTCTTCGAGGGCAAAAGTAGTCAGTTGTACAACATCAATTAAATAAAGGGCTGTTGTTATCACAACTCACATTTAGGATTTGATTTCCAATCATAAAAAGAACTATAAATTTACATTCGAGTATAAAACGAAGTTTAAAACTGTCGGGTTTAGTTTTAACAATCGACACCACAAGATGGCGACACACCATTAAGAAACTAACGGCAGCATTAAAAATAAATCGCAGTTCGTTGAACCACTCGTCATATAAACTGTCTAAATACATGCATTAAGGCTCTTAATCAATGATTCACAAGTCACAACGTATGTACTTACATTATAAGGCGTTTTCTTCCATTCTTAAAAAAAACTCAAAATGTAATTTGTAGTAGGCTATAGCTACACAATGATTTTCCATCATTGTAACCCACTGCTCATTTGAGTGCATTACAGACTCATGATGTGATGCATCTGGATAATACTACTGTAGATCTTTTTGTAACACTCTAAAGAGACTTGAATGTCCTCTGTGTTCACCCACGCTTCACTATCTTGTCTTTAGGGAATGTCTGTCTCCTGCTTTTCTCCTGTGGTGTCTGTTGGTTATCTCAGGGTTTGGCTTAGCATATGTGTGTGTGCGTCAGATTTAAAACCAGCTCTTCATTGAAGGCAAATCTGTAAAATTCCTTTTCTTCCTCTTTTATGCCTAAGGAAAATCTTTTTTTTTTTTCTGTCGACATCTGTTTGCTCTGTTGTTTCAAACCAAAATACTTTCATTTTTCTGTAGAACACAAAAGAAGAAATTTTGAAGAATACGTATGTTGCTCTTTTCCACGAGATTTCAGTACGATTTTGAATTCCAAAATGTAGCAAAAGTAAAATAAAAACATCATAAAAGCAGCAAAAATTGTAAATAAATTCTTTTGGGATACAAACTCAAACTTTGAGATTTCACTAATTGAAATTATTAATATGAAAAGAGATATAATTAATGTAACAAATTAATATTATACTAATAAAAAAACAGTTTTTCTGATTAACAATTTACAAATTTATATGAAACACTTTTATGATGATTTTATGCCATTTTGCGTTCTTTCTGAATCTTTACTCGCTACTTAATCTAGTAACAATGGAAAAGAACAGCCAGAACATTCACTTCTACAGAACATCAAACACAAAAGTGCAAGTTAATGAGGACAGAACACTTGATTCAAGGGTGCTACATTTCCAGAAGTGGTAGCGTCCATCAAGCTTTTTTGGCTCCGCTTCGCTGTTTCTGTTTCCGGAGGTGCGCCTCAATTTCGTGCCGGAAGAGCAACATCCCCAGCTGGCCGTGCGAGGCCTCGTTCATGGCTTTGGACTGCATGCACATCTTGTACTGATCCGGAGGCAGTTCATCAGCGCAGCGCTTCTCATGCCACAGGTGGAAGAGGCCGCGGGACGGGGCCCGAACCACCAGCAGATTACTGTGAAGATACTTTCTGTAGAGGTGCACATCCTCACCGCCCCAGCCTTTAATGTCCACATCAAAACCACCTGGAAGAAGAGGAGACCATCAGAACAAGGAATGAGAGACATCATCAAACATCAGGGGCCCTTAAAGTCATAGTTACCCCCAAAATGAAAATGTACTGACTCTTTGCATAAATGTCATGTAATTGTTGATAAAAGCCTTTGAAATGTATGAAATGCTTGTAATTATATTTCAGTAAATCACATAAACAACTGAAACAAAGATCTAAAAGCAGTTTAGCAGCAAACTTTGTGAAAACTAATATTTGTGTCACTCAAAACTTTTGGCCACGACTGTATTCAGTGTTTGAACATACTGTAAGGGTGATGGATAGAATTTTTATTCTTGGATGAATTTCTTTTAAGTTTTAATCAATAACATGTTTTACCTGTAAAAAAATAAATAAATAATCATTTATGTATTCGAATAACCTACTTTGAAAGAGTTTTAATGTGAAATTCATATAACTATCAGAATCTGTTAAAGAGTTATAGTAATCTGTCATCATTTAAAGGTGTAGATATGCTGTCTGATAAAAATGTATTATCTTAGCTGAGCTGAATTATATAACTAAGATGAATTCAGTCCTGTTATGATACATGTTTCTCAAACTGTGTATGGTATAGTTGTTCTAGTTTAGTCTACCATGTATTCTTGTATGTCAAGAACCAAAAATTAAATTGTGTTTTCATGTTTTATTACTCTGACAGCTATGTATGTGTTTTGCTGCTGTTGTGTTGCTGGTTTAACTGACAACCAATGTAGCCTGAGATTTGTTGTTAGTAAAATGTATTTTTAATTTTGATTAAATATGATATTCTTCCATCTTGTCTGTTTTGCTTAAGTTTTTGAATTACCAATGTTTGGTATTATGCTTAATGTTTTAATATTATGCAGTAGTAGTAGTAGTAATAATAATAATAATAGTAGTGTTTTTTATCAACACTTAATGTGTTAAAATGACACATTTGAGTGTTAAATTAAGTGACAATATGTGTCTTAAAATAGTTTACACATCTGCTGTGTTAAATTCAACACAACATGTGCAGTCCCTGAGCACACTCCACACGTGTTAAAATTTTACACAACATGTGTCATTTTTAACACATCACTTTTTGCAGTGTACCAACTCAACTTGTTCATTCTTCAAATTTTCTCATCTTTAAAAACCCAATTTACTCTTTCTCAGCTTGTTCCAAATTTGTTTAAGATTCCTTTTTTTACAACACTTTCCTTTTTGTTGGAACAACACAATAACATATTTTGAAAAATGTTGAAAACCGGTAGCCATTGACTTCCATATTTTAATTTTTTCCTACTATGAAAGTCAGGCATTTCTTAAAAATTACAAGTAAATTCGTTTCAGCAATTTTTTGCAAAGAGAAGTTGTAACATTACCGGTAATTTGCCAGAATGCTGCGCTGTGTAAACGCAAAGGGAAGATTGCCGGAAAGAGCGCGTTCATGTCTAGAACGAGCTGACGTGAGATGCTTACTATAACCAATCAGAACATTCAGACGCATTCACATCTGCTCTGTTTATGAAAATAAAACCTTTTGAATATTTTTAGGACATTGCTAGATGTTAGTCAGATAACGTTTCTATGCTTCATCTTAATGCCAACTGTGGAAAAATTATCAATAAAATGCTTATGATAAACTGCTGTTTGTTTACCTTCAAGCTCAGCTTCAGTTGCTTGACGCATGCGCACGTGAAGCAGCCGGTGAGGACCAGCAAACACACATTATGTACCATCAACCATTAACCCTCAACAAAAGCCCGACCCCTTCTATGTTTACAAATACAAGCACAGCCGTTTAGAGCTTATTTCTGGGTAATGATGTCAGAATTTACCAGTATTTTGGAATGGAAGTGTGAATGGTCTTTCCCGGAAAAGTTTCGGAACAGCGCTTTTTTGAATTTACCATTGAAGTCATTCTGGTAATTTTCCAGATATTTACTGGTATCACTGTGTGAAAGGGGCTAATGGCTACTGGTTTCCAACAGTCTTCAAAATATCTCTGTCCTTCGTAGTGTTCAGTTGAAAAAAAGAAAGAAACTGAAACCGATCTGGAACAAGTTGATGGAGAGTAAATGATGACTGAATTGAATTTTAATGATCTGAAAATATGATTTTTTTTTTAAAGGACATTTTATTCAAAAAGAAATATTATCCCCATTTACCCCATTACATATTTTTACAGGACTGTTTAATTTTTTTTTTATTCTTATAGAAAAAGAAGATATTCTGAAGAAAGGTTTCACTCATAAAGGTGTTGGTTCCCTTTCAGTTGATAATTACAGTTTTTTACCATTCAGTACAGAGGAAGTCAATTGGAACCAAAACCTTTTTTTAATACTTCAGAACACCCACTTTCTTGTTCCACAGAAAAAAGAAACTCATACATGTTTAAATTGACATGAGAGTCAATAAATGATGACAGATTTATATACTATATATTACAGTTTTTTAGATGTTAGTATCAGTATGTTGGTCTTAAGGATATGTATAGGTTAGTGTACTCTAAAAGAGTGACAAAATTCACATAAAGAAGATATAAACAAACTTTTCACTTCTGCCTAAAATGGATCAACATGTTTTTGATCATGTTTCAAATCTTCTGACCAATCAAATGCTGCTCTATGGTATCTGATATGTCCCGCCCTCTTTAAGATGCTACTGCCATATGTACTTGAGCTCAACCACTCTCACTGGCAAAGCTGTGAAAAAAAACAAAATGCTATTGGTAGTTTTTTCAAAAGGGGGGAGGAGCTACTCTATCCTCCTGAGACCCCGCCCATTGACTTGTGTCCTCTGCAGTGGACATTGTGTTTTCATGAATTTTCTTTGAATTTTTTGAGCTACTCTGTCAAGTCATGTTGTACTGTTCAGATGACACCCTGGGCTTTCTAGAGATGTGTCATTTAATTGGCTGGCATGCTAAAAAACACTTCTTACACTGCATCCAAACAGGCCGACAAACAAAAAAGCAAAAAAAAAAAAAAAAAATGTATGGGAAGGAGAAAATTAAGCTTTTTAAGCAAATTTTTACTATTATTATTACATAGATATTTGCTAATTAAAGTGTCATGAACAATACATTCAGCTTTCAAAGCTGTTAACTTGTTTGTGTTTCAAAATATCATCTTTTTTTTTAAATGTCCACTATAGTGGACACCAGGACCATCTTAGGGTGCTTTCACACCTACACTTTTGTTTCGGAACGTGTCTCGTTTGCCCAGTTAGCGCGGTTCGTTTGGCATATGTGAACAAAGCAATCGCGCTCTGTTCCCAAAGTAATCGCTCCGAGATCGATTGAATGAGGTGGTCTCGGCTCGATTGAAACGAACCCTGGAGAAGTTCGATTGCAGTGAACCCTGACACTCTGACTAATGTAAGGAGAGTTTACTCGCACATGACTTGTTTTAGCTCTTTTGGTCCGATTAGAAACTTTGCAGTGTGAAAGCGAACCGCTCCAAGAGCAAAGAGCAACAATGTAACAATTGTAATCTCTGTTTCAGAACAACTGAATCGATTCACAGGTGTGAAAGCACCCTTAATGTAATTCATGACTGCATGTTGTAGGGGGCAGAACTAAAGCAGAGAGTATTCTTTATAAAATAGTTGTGACAATTAGAGAATTAGAGACAATTAGAGAATGACAATTGCTTTAATGTTAAAATTGTTTTGGAACAACATCACTTCTCTTTTTTTTTGAGTTCGTCTCGCTTTCAGACAAAACTGCTCCAAAAATTTCAATACAGAAGGAAAAAATGGCTTTAGTTTAGTTTTTGTTACATTAATATTGGATTATTATCCCTTTACAGCCATTTCCTGTACAGTTTTGTTGTCTGAGTGGCGATTGTTTCGAACTAAAATGGTCCTGTGGTCCACTACAGCAGACATGCTGTAACATTAAAATTAAAAACAAAATATAAAAACTCTAAATTGTATAATTGTTTAACCCAAAGGATGTAGGAAATCACAAAAAAAAAAAAAAAGAAAAAAGAAAAAAAAATTGGGGTCTCAGGAGGCTATACCCTGTCTTCATGTCTCAGTTGAATTACGTCACACAAAGCACTTCATTTGATTTTAAGAATGTTTTGTGAATCTAAAACTAGACAGAGGAACCATATCTTATTTACAAAAGCACATTCAAACCATGTTATGGCTAATGTGGCCAGCAGCAACATTAATGCATCTGTATTGAACTGAAGAAAAAGGAAACATCGAATAAACACTTTGTTTAGACACATAAACTGTTGTTGTTAAAGGGAAATGTGGACTTCCCTCGAGACAAACTGCTTTGTTGGTCATTTCCTTAATACTTCTGTTTTGTTGTAATTGTTGATCGTCTGTTTCTTTTTCACTTGTTTCAGGTCATTATTAATATTTATCCTTGTTATTTTTATATAAATATTATATGACCTTTATTCACAAGGATATTGTAACATTGGTCAGAAAAATGTTTTATACTCTTTCAACATTAATAATAATGGTAAATGCATAAAAATGAGCACATTATACTGACTTCTGAAGTATTATTTAACACGGAGGATTGGTGTAATGATGCTGAAAATTCATGTTTGTATGACAAAATAAATAACATTTAAAAATACATATGAATATAAAATAAAAAATAATATAAATATTATAATAATATTAATGTATATGAATCTAAAATATATGAAAATACAAAACAATCACTTTAATTTGTAATATGTTTCAGAAAAATATTATAATGCTACTGTATTTACTGTAGTTAATGAAATACATGCAACCCGAGGACAGCATAAAAGACTTCAGAAACTTGAAATATAATAATAATAATGATGATGATGATAATAATAATGATAATATTAATTTGCAGTTCATTCTATTTAACTTCTACATACTGTAATGAATCTGTGCTTAATGTTACAGAACGACCTTTATCGTGATATTTTAATCTGGTTACGAATCCAGTTCTAGACAGATGAGCAACTTTGTCCTACATTTCTGAAATAATGCTCCTAACAGCTGCCCCTCATTTCCGTCAATGTGACTGGCCATTTAAATAAACATAAATGAACTTACTTCATGTAAATGTATGTCAACAGCTGCTAGAGAGGATATCTGTTTACCTATATTGATGAAATCAGATCTGTATTGGCAGGTCATTCCAAAGCCAAAGTCCCTCCAAAAGCCTGTGTCTTTCTTAATGATCTGTAAAAGAGTCACAAAATAAAACTGAACACTCTTATAAACTCTTTTCAGGTTGTTTAGTGTCTGCTATCCCAAATATTACTCAATCATGACATATATATATATATATATATATATATATATATATATATATCTACATATATCTATAATATGATAATAATATAACACATAAAATTACATAAAAATATAATATTACACATATAAAATATATTAATATGCAACACATATAAAAACACAAGATATCGTATTATACTGATAAATGCTTCATTCTGATAAACATTGTAAAGTGTGCTATTATTTTCAGATAAACACTCCATTATAGTTTCAGGCAGTTCTTGACCACATTATAGCATTATTTATTTGATAACAAAAAAAAAAAAAAAAAAAACATCTGACAAATGGGTTACTGCATCATATACCTGAACAATGTCTTTAGGTGTGCTAATCTGTATAACTCTGGTCTGTTGAATCATTAGAAAATAAAGCACACCCATTAATGTAGTTCTCCCATTATTGTAGCTGTAGAAATGTAAGCAATTTTCATTACAATAACCTACAAAACATCATATTTTTATGTGGCAAATTCATATAGTAAAAGTGAACAGTGGCTTAAATATACATCCAATGAACAGCTGAATAATATCCTCCTGACACCCGAATTCTTTTTTTTTCTTCTTTTTTTTTTCTTTCTGTGATTTCCTACTTCCTTTGGGTTAAGAAAAAGTTCTACAATTTAGAGTTTTTATGTTGGCTTGAGAAAGCCAACACACTGTTATACTATTCTGTCCTTGAAAAGAAACGTATCTCCTCCTAGGCCGTTCATGCCACAAGGCCCAAATGTGGTCAAAATGTGCCTTCTACATTCAAGATTGTTGCAATATCTCCTCATGCCTATAAGACTTATTGTTTTTTTAATAAAAAATGTTTAATATTAAATTTTTATAATCCGAGCATATAAAAAAATTATACAAGCCCCAAATTTGGCCAAAAGCTGTATTTAGATGCGTTAGATTTTGTTGCTATATCTTTAAGGTTTATCAGACTTATAGTTTTCCACTAAATAATTTTTAAGCATTATTTTTCTTATAATATGGCAAGCCATTTTTGACTTAAACTCCATATATTTTACTGATATGGCAAGACATTTTTGCATGTATCACTTTCACACTTACTAAGCATTAGTAATTAGTAATAGTAATTATCAGGGGTCGCTACAACGGAATGAACCGCTAACTTATCCAGCGCTTGTAGTCTTCTCTTAATAAAGACGCGGCTCTAGTTGCTGGTGATTGTCCTGTCTCTACAGATTTGGTAGGTGAGCGACCAGTGCTCTGTTTATTCAGTTCTTATTTTATTCGTATCGAACAAACTATTGCACCGAAGTTAGCTCTACAACCAAACTATAACCTTGTGTAGGATTTTGTGACCGGAATAACACACGCGGCTTTCTGACGCTACCTGCCGTGTGCATCTATGTTTCCGGAAATGCTGAGTTTTTTTTTCTCTCATTCGCCGTGCGGTATCAAACATTGCATGAAAATACACGCTTAGAGCAGTTCCTTGAATCAAATATCTCGTTTGTGGCGAGGGACATAAATGAATTCCCTGAATGAAAGAGCCAAACTGCAGTTAAAGTCCAACATTTAATAATTTGGCAAATAATTCGACTAAAGATGTCCATGTAAACAGTCCCTTTCTCCCCCGTTGGGTGTGTGTTTTGACTCTGAAATTCAGCGTGCCCAAATAGACACTCCCACACCAAGCCTCTTTTCTTCCTCCGACACTCACCCCTATACAGAGGTGGACACGCTCACTTTTCTGACTTTTTCCAAAGTAGAGGCGTGAAAACACCCTGCTGAAACAAGGGGGTTTCATGGCCCTTTCAATGTTGCAAAACTTAATTATTGTAATTACAGTACGAAAGATTTAGACTAATTGATTTCCCCCAATTCAATCAGGTATGGCAGCTGTGGTAAAAAGTAATTTGGTCCTCATGTCTCATGTCAGCTTTGCGCATTATCGGCACATTCAATCAGGCTCTTTATAATCTACATGTTCAGAATATCAATGCCAAACGACTGTGGTGATTATGTTTCCCATCGCAGCGCAGCATTTAATCACATCAAACCTGATGAAGCATTTTAATCTCCAGATGAAATGAGTTGCGTTACCAGCTGCTGGTCCACAGGTGGGACGTGATCGTGACTGCCGTAAATCACAGCCGGGTTATACTGACTGAAGAGGACTGGGTAAAACACTTTCTTTCCTTAAAAAAAAAAAAAAAAGAAAACAAGGAGGAAGACAATGTGATCATACAGCTGGATATGCTAAAAGCAGAACATATATTCCCCATTTGAATGTATAAATTTGTATCAAGTAAACAATCAATCAATGAATCATTAATTTGAATATAAGAGTCTGAGTGAACTGGAAGTTGATGAGACTTCGTTTCAGTATGTTGATGTACTCACAACTGAAACTGAATATTGAGTAGGGGGTGGGGCTTTCTTTTCTGCATCATTTTCTCATAGCGAACTAATGGTAAGGGGGTTGTGGTTAGAATATTGATATACAGTTACTATGGAAGCCTTTAAGTTGACGTTAGCAGAAGGATCACTCTAAAAGCAAAAGCAAATTGTCAGATTGAAGAGTACCAAAACAATTGTTTTTACCAGATCAATTTGCATTGATTATTTAATAATCCTAATAATAAAAATGTAACCTAGCAAAATAAATATTGTAAATTCTGATTTGAAGCAGACTTTAAAACTGACTTCCAATAAAACACCTTGACAAAAGTTACCAGTCCATAGAGAAGTGGTTCAGATAAGTTCTGAGAAAAGCACTAAAAGTATTTGTGTCAGACAAGGCACTCCATTTAGTATTTAGTTTCTAATAATAGGCCATTATTAAGTGGCAAAATACTTTTGGTGTTTCTATAAACAGTATACAGTGTATCCGGAAAGTATTCATAGCACTTCACTTTTCCACATTTTTTATGTTAAAAGCTTTATTCCAAAATGGATTAAATTAATTTATTTCCTGCATATTCTACACACAATAACCCATAATGACAATGTGAATTTTTTTTTAATTGTTGTAAATTTATTAAAAATAAAAAAACACATGTACATGTGTATTCACAGCCTCTAAATGGAGCTCAGGTACATTCTGTTTCCACTGATCCATTCCTGAAATGTTTCAGCAGCTTCATTGGAGTTCACCTGTGGTAAATTCAGTTGATTGGACATGATTTGAAAAGACATACTAAAAGACATTGACAGTGCATGTCAAAGAACAAACCAAGCATGAAGACAAAGGAATTGTCTATAGACCTCCGAGACAGGATTGGCTCAAGGCACAAGGCTAGGGAAGGTTACAGAAAAAAATTCTGCAGTTCTGAAAGTTCTAATGAGCACAGTGGACTGCACTTTCCGTAAGTGGAAGATGTTTGGAACCACCAGGACTCTTTCTAGAGCTGGTGGTTAGAGGAGAAGGGCCTTAGTCAGGGAGGTGAGCAATATCATCGGGCTATTGATCACCTCCCTGACTAAGACCCTTTGTCTGAGCTTCAGCGTTCTTCTGAGGAGAGAGGAGAACCTTTACAGAAGGACAACCATCTGGGCAGCAATCCTCCAATCAGGCCTATATGGAAGAGTGGCCAGACTGAAGACACTCCCCACCTGGAATTTGCCAAAAGGCATCTGAAGGGTTCTCAGACCATAAGAAACTAAATTCTCTGGTCTGATGAGACTAAAATTGAACACTTTGAATTAAATGCCAGGCGTTACATTTGGAGAAAACCAGGCACCGCTTATCACCAGGCTAATACTATCCCTACAGTGAAGCATGGTGGTCATGCATCAATTTTTTTTTTATAATTTTTGTCTCTTTTTCTTTGAATCAAACAATTATTTGTATTGGTCATGTAAGGGTCATATCTTAACTGAACTTCTACTGTTGTGTTTGAGATGCTGTGCATACTAATTAGCATTTTTGCAGAAGTAGATAAATGCTGGCCCAAAATTAAATTCAGCTCTGCAGAAACTTCCTGTCTGAAGAAAGGTGTTAAAATTGAACACAGAGCACAAAAAAATGTAAGCTTTTATTGTTGTACAGAAAATTCGTAGAAAAAGAGGACTTATGTCTGGGTGCGGCCAATGGAGGACTGAACAATGATTGACCAATGACGAATTTCACTAAACTCCACCTGTTAATTTCCGCTGCCTACATAGACCTTTTTCATGGCTGCTGCCTGAAGGACGGGATAGCGACGAGCGTCTTCCGGTAGAATGCTAAAAACCTCCGTTTACATCGTGTACAACTAGTAATGTGCGCTCCGAAAATGGGTTTCAATAACGTTTTTAATGGATAACGGAGTGTTTTTGTGACACACAACTTAGAAATGTGTCTGTTAAAGCCGTTATAATCTGTCACATGTGGTTCAAGCGCGTCAGAAATACAAGAAAAATGTTCTCCTAGTTCACGTGTCTGCCGTCAGAAATACAGTGGGTGTGTTCGGTCCCGGCCTGTCAGCTGTTAGCTCAGCGGCTCTTTAACACACACACACACACACACACACACAAAGAAAGATAGAGAGAGAGAGAGCAAACCAGAGTACTGGCATGAAACTTAACAGGTATGAAAGTCGTGCAATTTACAAAAATTACCAATAAAAGTCTGTTATTGATCCTCTGCTGGCTGATTTGCTGTTCATTCTAATTGCGAGCCATTTGTGTTTTATTTCGTGTGTTGTTTTCACCACGGTTTCTGTTTTTCTGTCATTTTGAAATGACACTAGTCTATATTTTCACTTTGTCAGTTATTAAATCAGTGTGTCAGTGGCACAGTACAGGCTACGTGTGTGTGTCAAACATTTTGGTGAATTACATTTGTTTGGGCTGGTTATATATTTGAAATAAAGAGAAAATGTTGACTTTAGCGATGACAAGGCTTCATTTCAACTGCAGAAGATGCCGTCTGACAACGAGGGGAAAACGCCTCACAGCAGCTGTTTTCCATCCTATTATATCGCATTTCTTTAAATGATCAGTCCAGGAGATGGTGCTGATGGACAACAGTATTAGTTCAAAGAGGAAAAAAGCAGGTAAAATAGATTAAAACTATCGTTTCAAAGCTGTCCAAATGTGACTGTTTACACGCATCAGCTGCCGACCGGAAGTTCTTCGCATTCTCCTTGCGAATACACGCAAAGCATAATGGGTAATTTTGCGTTCCAAGAAAAAGGTCTATAAGTTTTTTTATTGTTGCGCACCTCCTCAATGTAACTTTGGCATTGCATTGAGAATAACAGAATTCTGTGAATCGAATTATTCATTTGTATCCAATACATTGTTACGATTTTTTGAGGAAATAATTTAATCCATTTTGGAATAAGGCTGTAGCATAAAAAAGTGGAAAAACTTTCCGGATGCACTGTAAATAATAAAAAAAAGTGTTTTATTCAATTTATTTATTAATATTTATTAATATAAATTATATTATTTGTTTAATAATGAGTAAAACCATGTGATTTGAAGGAAAGTGGCAAATTATAAATACTTAAAATGACAATTAATTTGCATTTTTTTTTCTGACTTTATGTTTAAATTATGCCTAAGAAGATATTTTGGTAGTATTACACTTCCTTTTGATTCTTAAAAAAATCTTTTTAACTTATGGTGACCGTTATTTCACACTCACTATTGCTGCATGTATTTGACAATATATACATTAATAATTCTATTATGTTGTTCTGCCACTCGTCTTATGATTTATGTTTGAAAACAGCTGTGCTACTTCACATTTATGTGGAAACCATGATACACATCAAATTCCGGACACAAATCAAATTCAAATGCTGCACCAAATAAATCAAAAGTGACAGTTAAATTCAAATATAAAAGCTTACATAATTATATTAAGCAGCAAACACTGTTTTAGCACTGATATTAAGAACCATTGTTAATAACTAAGCACAAAAATCCAATCATCAAGGATCTATATAGAATAGAATAGAAACTAATAGAGTGTTTGCTTTTTTTCTCTTACCAGGCTGAGCATTCAGACGGCACGTGTTCAGAAAGTCAGCGGTGAAGATGATGTCCACATCACAGAAGAAGAGCAGAACATTTCCACCCTTCCAGGCTCGAGCTCCAACATCCAGGCCGCGACCCCGAGAAAACTCCTCATTCAGCTGGATCAGGGTGAAGTTTCGGAAGTTTAGCTCTCTGCAAACAGATAAACAAAAACATTGGTTTGGCTTTCCACTTCAAAAAAATAAAAATAAAAAAATTAAATACTATAATTATATTTTAATAAAACTGCAATGATAGAGGTTTACATTAGCTACACTGCTAACAATTTCCTGTAAATTCTACAGTAACTTACTGGCAGCAGTTTGGCAGGTACTTACTGTAAATTAATTACAGCATAATACCGTATTTACATTTAGGGCATCATTTATTTTGCTGTACATGTATTTACAGTACTGCATATCTTTACTGTAAAATATCGTAATTTTCACAATGCAACTTTAAAATACAGTGAGATACTGCATATTTTCCCTACATTAAAAACAGTTCATTTTACAGTAAATTACTGTGTTTACAAAAATCAATAACAGTGTATCTTAAATCAACCAGAAAAAAAAAACATTTTTTCTCCTCAGTTGTGATGTGAATAAAATATAGGTTAAATTATGACTACAGGGACAAACAGAGAAGTATTTTTTTTTTTCCTTTAACGTATATGAAAACACCAGGAAATGTCAACAGACAATTAATAACAAGCTCTGATATCAACCTTTAACTAGAAAAGTAAAGGTCATGGACAAACTTTATGGTGGCTTGAGAAAGCCTAGCCTGAAAGTTTGAAGTAGTTTAAAGTTTAAATGATTGAAGCTGTTTTTAAGTTTGAAATAGTTGGCATAGAGAGATAACTACATACAGTTAAAGTCAGAATTATTAGCCCCCTTTCATTTTGGTTTCTTTTTAAATATTTCCCAAATAATGTTTAACAGAGCAAGGAAATTTTCACTGTATGTCTGAGATTATTTTTTCTTCTGGAGAAAGTCTTATTTGTTTCATTTCGACTAGAATAAAAGCAGATTTAATTTTTTAAAAATATTTTAAGGTCAAAATTATTAGCCCCTTTAAGCAATTTTTTGATAGTCTACAGAACACACTATCTTTATATAGTAACTTGCCTAATTACCCTATCCAGCCTAGTTAACCCAATTAACCTAGTTAAGCCTTTAAATTTGACTGTCTTAAAAATATCTAGTAAAATATTCTTTACTGTCATCATGGCAAAGATAAAATACATCAATTAGAAATGAGTTAATAAAACTATTATGATTAGAAATGTGCTGAAAAAATCTTTTTAAACAAAAAACTAGGAAAAAAATAAAGGGGGGGGGGGCTATTAATTCAGGGGGGCTAATAGTTTTGACTTCAACTGTTTCTGTTAGCATGTTTCTAGTATGGGTTGGCATATTTCTAGCTAGGTTGGTGCTATGGCGTTGCTAGGATATTTTGCTTAGGGTGTTCTTTTTGCCAAGTGGTTGATAAGGTGTTCTAGGTGGTTACTAAGACGTTGCTTGGGTGTTCCAAGTTGTTGTTAAGGTGTTCCTTGGTGGTTGCTAGGGTATTCTGAGCGGTTGCTATGTGGTTGCTAGGGTGTTCTGAGTAGTTGCTTGGTCGCCCACTGAGTGGTTGCTTAGTCATTGCTATGTGGTTGCTAGGGTGTTCTAATTAGTTGCTAAAGTGTTGCTAGGGTGTTTTTGTGGTTGGATTGCTTAGCGGTTTCTAGGTTATTCTGAGTGGTTGCTAAGGTCATCAGTGATTGGCATATTGGTAGTCTGAGTTAAATGAGTCCAACCTTTAGTTTGTATGACAGTCTGGCGCAAAGTTATGAGGTCATAAATTTTGGTCCAATGTTAAGTTAATGGGACTTTTCTGAATGTTCCAGGTCAGTTTTCGGAAAACCATAAGTTGGATCATGTGGAAAACATATAGCAGCTCAAGACAGAGCAGTTTGAAGGTTTGGAGTTTGGTTTATGTAGTATTAACGGTCTAGGAGGAGATGCATAAAAAATTAGTCTCAGAAAAAGAAGAAGAGGAAGTTTATTTAGCATAACAGTGTGTTGGCTTTCTTAAGCCACCTTAAAAAGGCTGTTCTTTCACTTCAGAAAATCCCAGAAAAAGCAGAGTAATATGACACGATGCATAAACTTGCATTAAACACTTATACTCAGCAGTCTACATGTGTTTGCTGCCTCATTACAAACATGACAATTTTCATAATATACAAGTTAAATTAACAAAAGATACAATTGAACAGACTTTATGTCTCCCTGGGATGCCGCTGAATAAATATAGAATCCATATATCCTGCATTTTGTGTTTTGACAAGCCATAAACAGATGGCTGGTGGAGAACTGTACAGTATTTTAGTTGTTTTTAAATGTAAAAACTCTAATTACATTACACGTCGACCTTAGGGAATATTTTAAAAAGGCGGTTTATGACTTTAGTGCACCCTTTTTGTAAAGTGTTACCAGCATTTATTAAACAAAGCATCAGTTTTTAAAAAATATGTAAATCCTACATGAACACATAGAGTTCATTACAACAGAAACTATGAACACCTTCAGCTCTTTGTTTTGTCTAAAAATAGATGTGCTATGATTGATGATGTATGGATTTTACTGCATGACCTGCATCAGTTCTCACGGATAGAGATAATAACAGGCGTGTAGTTATGAATAAAATGAGCTAAGCATGCTCGCACACACACACACATGCACGCACACACACAAAGATGATATATAAAAGCACAATGCCACACACAGTGCAGATAATACCTGCTATTAAAGCAGTGCAGCTGTCTTAGCAGGAAGAGGAAGAACCGCTTCCTTTACATTAGTGATTCAAGAACAATGCAGCACTACGCAATTAACACATCGAATTTATAACAGAGAGATTTACAGAGGGCCTAGAAGTCTTACGTGTTTAATACCTGTATATAAACATCTTTGGAATAAATTAAGAGATCACTGAAAAATGATCGAATTCTCTGGACTTATGGTTAATTATATTCTGTATTACATATGACAATAGGTTTTACCCAATTGTCAGCTAGATGATTTCAGCAAGATAATTAAAATGCAATAAAATGAGTGATAACACATACTTGTATATATTTTATTTTCTTGTATATCTTTAAAATAGAAGTGTGATAACATGTTGTTATATTTTAACACTACACGAAAATATAACATTATTTCTATTACTATTTTTAAAAGCATTATTTTAAATATTAAAGTCAACACTAGAACAAATTCTAATTCATAATTAGAATACTAATTCTAAATTCTAAATAGCTCTTAAAATATGCTTTCTATGTATGTAAAAGGGAAATCTCTACTTTGACTCATACAAACATTTTATACACTTTGAATATGGTATGATTGATGGTGCCAGAAGAGCTGATCTGAGTATTTCAGAAACTGCTGATCTACTGGGATTTTCATGCACAACCAAGAATGGCCAGACTGGTTCGTGCTTATAGAAAGGCAGCAGTAACTCCAATAACCACTCGTTACAGCCAAGGTATGCAGAAGAGCATTTCTGAATGGACTACATGTTGAACCTTGAGGTGGATGTGCTAAAGCAGAAGACCACACCGGGTGCCACTGCTGTCAGCTAAGAACAGAAAACTGAGGCTACGATTCACACAGGCTCACCAAAACTGGATGGTAGGGTCAGAGTTTGACGTCAACAACATGAAAGCATGGATCCATCCCGCCTCAATCAACGGTTCAGGGTGGTGATGGTGGTGTAATTGTGTGGGGGATATTTTCTTGGCACACTTTGGGGCCATTAGTACCAATTGAGCAATTGGACAATGTCCATCCCTTTATGACCACAGTGTACTCATCTTCTGATGGCTACTTCCAGCAGGATATTGTGCCATAAACTAAAATGCAAATCATCTCAGACTGTTTTTTTGAATATGACATTGAGTTCACTGTACCCAAAAGGCCTCCACAACCACCAGATCCCAATCCAATAGAGCCCCTTTGGGATGTGGTGGAGCGGGAGATTCACATCATGGATGTGCAGCCAACAAATCTGTAGCAACTGCTCGATGCTATCATGTCAACATGGACAAAAATCCAAGAATACTCCCAGTACCTTGTTGAATCTATACTACGAAGAATTAAGGCAGTTCTAAAGGCAAAAACAGGTCCAACCCGGTACTAGTAAGGTGTACCTAATAAAGTGGCCAGTGAGAGTATATTCACAAATAAATGCTGTCCTTTTAAACTTTCTAATCATCAAAGTATCTGGAAAACCTTGCTTCACGGTTAACACAAAAATATTAGGCAGCACAACTGTTTTCAAGATCAATATGTAATGTTAAGTGAGCAGATTTTTAAAAATGTATATTTAAATTTAAATATTATCATAAATTGCAAAAATAATTCTGCAATATTACTGTATTTTGATCAAATAGATGCAGAATGTGAGTTTTGAGTGTGTACTTATATACAATATTGGTAACACTTCACAATAAGGTTGTATTAGTTAATGCATTTACTAACATGAACAAACAATAAACAATGCATTTACTAAAGTATTTGTTCGTGTTAGTTAACACTAGCTAATGATTAGCATGGTGCATAAACTAATGTTACCAAGCATGAATTTGGATTTTAATAAGGCATAGTGAATGTTGAACCATGCTTAATAAATGCGCTACAAGTAAATACATGAATTAATGAAAGCATTTTGTAAAGTGTGACCACAATATCTTTATAACATGTCCATTTTACTGAATGCAAACATTTAATAAGGACATAGAAAGATAGATAAAATATTTAATTAACAAGCAAGAAAAAAAAAAAAGTGACTAAATAAAGCTACTAGTAAAGCACCTGTCAGATGTGGTCACCCGCTGCTCTTATTGGCCCAACACAAAATATAGGCCAGCATGTCTGACTGAAATAAAACAAGCACCTACTTTCTGTGACCGAGATTCATAACCCTCGAAAACATTGCTGCAGCCCATGGGATATGTATCACAGCGAATAAATACCTTCAAAACCAGACATTGTTCACATAGCCAAGCAAAAATATTCAAGAGCTGCTGGCTGATGCAGATTTAGAGCCACAAATAGTATGCAAACAAGATTTGATTTAAGTCACATTAGCGGAACGGATCT